CAACAAAATGCTGTTTGATTTGAAAGTGGCTTCTGTGCGAGCTGTGCTTCATACATTGCTATACAACTGACAATAGAAAATTGACCTTTTTTTACTCGCAAGATTTTGCTAATATGACCTAACCATTCCATTCCATTTATTTTAATGGAAAAAAATATTAGAATCTTCATGCATTTTCATTACAATTACAATTCATTGTATGACAGTTCGTGGCTGGCAAATAGAACAAAATAAAAACGCCATAACATTCTATTTATTCTAAGTCTTCCAAAGCCATAAATGAAGGAATTACCTACACTCTAAAAAATGCTGGGTTGTTTTAACCCAACTTTGGGTCAAATATGGACTAACCCAACTTTTTGGGTAAAAATGTAATTGAAAAATTTAACCCAACAGTTGGGTTAGTCCATATTTGACCCAAAGTTGGGTTAAAACAACCCAGCATTTTTTAGAGTGTATAAGCAGCCAGAATACACTGGATTTGCCTTGCATTTAGTGCAGTTGCATTCAAACAGTGAGGACAATACTGTAGTGCAGTCTATTTATTGAATTTGTAGTATTTCATAGTACTGTTCCTTTCTGTGCTGGAAGGGTCTTTCTTTTATCACATATAAGGACACAAGAACACTACTGAGTGTAACCGGCTTACGGTCATAGGAGTGGTTGAAGGGAGAGATCGAATATAGTGCGTCAGGTGTTCGTTGATGGTCTGCAGCTTGGTGAGTTGTTCCTGATATCTCTGGAGAACATCAGTCCAATCAGGCGTCAGAACAGAAGGGGCAGAGTACAAATACCGTGAGTCAAGAAGTCAGGAAGAATCATACACAGGAATCAATCAGGAACAGAGGAACTATAACGCTTGGTAAGGCAGATGAACTGGCAATACTTCGCGACCAGCACATGGACTGGTCTCAGTTTATATGAGAGTCAAACAGGAAATGGAAGTAGAGGAAGCAGAGGGAGTGGAGCACGGTCAGTACTCGGGCGAGGGCTCCCTCTGCTGGCTTGGCGTTACACTGAGCTAAAAATAATTTCTTATGTCATGGCGCAGTACACGCAGTAGCAGCGCCACAACTGAAGCAGTGCCGGAAACCCTGTCAGAATATTTTAGTATAGCCTTCCTTCCACGAATGGAACATCATGCAATTTTAATTTTATTTATTTTTGTATTTTAATTTTTTTAAGTGAACCGGTCCTTTATTCACAGTGCTAGTGATTATTGACTTTTTATTTTTAATTTATTTGACTTCTTTTTTTATTGTTTGTCTTTTTTGGCAGTTTAATAAATACAATTGTTAGTTAGTCTTTCTTTCTTTCTTTCTTTCTTTCTTTGCAGCTCACTTTACATGGTCTGTAACTCTGGTCTGTAAGCTTGAGTCCACATGACTCTTTGAAATGTTTTGAGCTTTTAACTGTCTTCTGGAAACTAATACCCATCATATTTGACAAGCTACACTTTGGTGCATTTGATACAGGACACATACACAGCTGAAAGTATTGACTGGTCCCAGTGTGTGTGAGGCTGCTTGCAGCTGCTGTCATGGTGTGTTTCCATCAGTGCTTTGGCCTCTGGAGTGTGAGTGGAAGGTGGGGGGTCTTTGTGGCTGTGCTCTCCTGTTATAGATAGCTGTTAAGATGCCTGCGAGCCTGCGGGGGTTCTGATGACTGAATGAGGCCTCTCTCCTCGCCAGGCCTTTGAGAACGGTTGAGGCGGGCGGGGGAAAAATGAACACATCTCTCGCAACCAATATCACAGGCTAGCGAGGCACGGCTAATCAAACAAAATGACAGATATTAATATTAAGGAAGACTGTGAAATAGGTCTGATTTCCTGAAGCCCTTTCTTTTATGTTGTTTTTTTTTTTTTTTTGAGACTTTATGAGATAGATTGGTGTCGTGTTGGATTGAGGTTGATCGTACTAAAGCTGGTACTTTTTCCACAAACAGACAGAATAACCGACACATGGGTAAGAACATCCAAAAGTAGACCATATGTCACAGTGGGCCATGTTCACTGACTGCTGTCAAAGAGTCAACAACACCCACAGCACCAGACCCCCACACTCCGCCCACTCGTTCACAGTCACTAGAGTTCTGATCACCTGCACCTGTGTCATCCAATCAGACTATATAAACCACTCACCTCAGTTCACTGATGTCTGGTCTCGTTGTTCCTATCATAATGCTACCCAAACGCTTACCTGCATGGACTTATCCTCTTCAGTTCGATATTCATCTGCATCCAACCTCCGGAACTGGCTCACCAACACCAGTTCATCCAGACCTGCAAAGATAAGACTGTTATTCACTGAACTATCTCAGCATTGCTCTGTTTACCAATCACTCACCTGCTATCCACTTACAGTGGGTACGGAAAGTATTCAGACCCCCTTAAATTTTTCACTCTTTGTTATATTGCAGCCATTTGCTAAAATC